CGTGTCGTTAAATCGACGATACGTCGGACATCGGCCGACAGAGTCGACGAGGCGGGACTGTAAACGGACCTCGAAATTGCCGCCTCAGAGATGTTATGCAAAACCGCGCCCTGGGGACGTCGGCGTGGCCGAGCGCGTATCCTTTGATTATTTATAGAGAAGCGATCGCTTTTGGGGCAAGAACCGATAACCCGAGACAAGCCGAGAGGAATTTCCGTCTTAAGGTCGGCCCTTTTTCGCCTTTTTCGACCGACTCCGCTTTAAGGGGCAACTGTAAAACCGGCCCTAAGTTATAGCGCCGAGGCACGCTCTACGGGACCGGTGCCACGTATCGAAAGATGCTCCTTCCTGTAATTTCATCTCTTGTCTCTCATTTTGCGTTCATAAACACTTCGGACTGTATAAAGAAGGCATGCGGCCTAACGGTAAACTCGCATTCGTTCCGAGAATCATTTTAATCTCGCGATTATCACGGCGCGGGGGACAAGAAATCCCGAGGTTCCCATTCCGCGATTATCATTACCTTCTCTTGATGTTATTTTATTTCGGTACTCTCTCGGTTTACGTGATTCTACGGGACACGATCTCGTCGATGCGTTCTTTCCCCGCTCGACTCGGGTGGCGCGGAATATTTTTTTTTTATTTTTTCGCGTTACGTGCAAAAATCGAAGAACTTTCCGCCCTCTTGAGGAGTGAATTACGAAGAACCGCCGTCGTTAAAACGGAAAATTATGCCCCCTATAAAAATTTTTCTCTGCCGTATATCGACGTTGACGTTAGGTGACGGTAAAATAGTCGAACAATTACGGTGGCGCGTTGGACCGATATGCGAGGGCGCAAAATTAAAGTTGACTTTGAATCGTCATAAGAAGGGGTTATTTAAGTAAGCAGCGCGTGCAGACGTAAATCCGGGGGTATATCGGCTGGATAAAAAAATAAAGGATAAACGGCAATACGCCGGGGCGGGGGGAAGAAATTCGAGCGCGGAATGCGAGGCGGAGTAACCGCGAGTGCTCGAGCGACGTCGTTTGCGGATCGAAGGGGCGTCTTCGATTTCAAAAAGGAAGCCGAGATGAAAACGGCAAATATTCGATCCCGTCGACCGCAGAGATTCGTCGCGTCCTCTTGCCAGGCAAATCTCTCGTTGCGACTGCGAAACATCCGCGGCCTTGAACATCCTCGAGGAATGCCATTCACCGCAACGAACGGCTTGGATCCGGGAATACCGACGTGCAGGGTGCAATTAACCGCCACGAAAAAAAGACTAAATCCACCTTGAAATATTCGTAACCAAGTCAGGAGCGTTATTAACCCTCGCGCCCCTCCGAGAATTTTTCTCCTCCCTCTGTCTCGCGCGCGCCGCAATTGCATTTCCTATCGGAGCGAATGCAGTTTCTCGCGTCAACGGCGAGCGTTAGAAAAAAATCCCTCCCGCAAAAGTTGTTCGGGACGATGTCAGGAATAACTTTTATCCGACATGTTTCTCGACGCGACTGACGGTTGAATCGGAAAACCGCATTTTCTCGGGCTAATCGACTCGTCCGAGATTAGGCAAGGGTTTTTGAAAACCGGGCCGGAACACCTCGTGGGAGTAACGGGGGCGGGCATTATTGATTTTCTTTTTTGTCGTCCGCGTCCTTGGCTTCTTTACGACATCAAGGTTTATGGAGGTAGACACGCCTCGCGAGAAGAATTGGACCTGGGAATGCAACGTGACGTAATGGCATTGCCTTGCCTCACCACGAGGTCCTCTAAGAAGTAACTCCGACGACCGAGAGCCCACTTTCGCGGCTTTCGTGCAACACGGCGGGACGATTCGTCACAAATCTGCCACCATGGATTCAAACCTTCTCATCGATTTTTTTCCTTTCCTCTTGGAGCGTTTAACGCGGTTCGCGGCGACGACGCATCCCTTCCTGCGAGGCGCGAGTAGATTACCGTAAAGTAGGACGTTCTAGTGTTGGCGTGTGGTAAACATACAAAGTGCAATAAACGTCCGCCGAGTATTATTCATGGGTAGGCATTATTGCCGGCAAATTTGCCAAGCAAATTAACACATTGGCCAACGCGAGTCCCGCGGAGACGAGTCGATCGGATGCGGCATCTTTGTTTTTAAACGCGCCACGTATGCCCACCGTTAACTACGCCGCGTAATTACTCAATCGAATCCAATGACTCAACGGAATCCCATGTCGGATGCGTAATTTAGGTACGCGGAGGAGGTTGCACCTGGCCGCGGCGCAAGTCTCAGTTTCTCTTTGATAAGTTTTTCCTATCGTTATCTCCCAGGTCGTCCATTACCCGCTCGGACTCTGCGAGTCCCTCGGCGGTAAAACGCCCGGGTATCCTTAAAACCGGCACTATTAGCTGCAATTTACAGTTTTGTCGATTAGCACGAAGGAAAAATGCAAAGCCGTGAAAGTCCGAGCGAGAATATCGGAAAATGCTCTCGAGGCAGGAATGCCATTACGCCGTGTGGAGGGTTTTCAGGATACTCCGGTGGATGGCATACAAACTCGAATTTCCGAATCGGCGATTTTTCCCACCGACTCCACGTCCGGAGATTTTCGAAAATCCCGGACCGCGGTTCCGTGGGAACGACCCAGATAGGAGCGGGCAAATGCGGACCGATTTGCTAGATAGCAAGGTAGAATAGCCCATTAAATCAGACTTTTCCTCTCGCGGAATCTCTCTCCCTCTCTCTTTCTCCGCGTGTAACCGCGTATAACTCGATAATCGAGCCGGCGGACACAATTGCGAGACTCCACACGCAGAGCAAATGGCAAATTGGCGAAGAATCTCGCAAGCTCGCGCGAAAGCGACCGCTTTGGAGCGACTTTTCCTCCCCGGAGACGGAAAATCATTCCGGCGGGACTTTTTCCGGAAACGTAGGTAGGGGAAAAAAAAAATCTCCCATTTGCGGGGAAACCGATCTCGAAACTCGCATTTGCCTATGCACCGAGTCGAGAAGTCGACGATCCCATTCAAGATCTCGCGCCTCGGAGCCGGAGCTACCGGTGCAATGTACTTTCTACGAATAAAACAACGTGGAAACACTTTCATGACCACTCCGAAGCAGGAAGGCTCGCCCGAGCGGCGACGTGGACGAACTGGAGTGAAAAGTAATCCCGTGGAATGCGACCTATCGAGGAAGAGACCGAACTTCGATTCGGAAGTGCACCACTGTGGAGAACGAAGCGGACGCGCGGTCTAGGATTTCGCTCTGTGGCTTTTATCGGAAATTGACCGATTAGACGATCCCTCGAAAGACTCGTCGTCTTTCCGACAGGTTCCCCTCTCCCCTTTCGCGCGTTTCTTCGTTTTTTATTCCCGCGTTGTCCGGGGTCGCCCGAGGAAAAACGATGCACCGCAAAGGCCCGCCGATGCAAGTGCAGATAAGATTAAGCCGCCTTAGCGTTATCTCGAAAACGGTGGATTTCTCAGGGGCCGTCGTTTCAAGGAAAGGTCGGAATATTTCGAACCGTCTTCGCCGGGCGAAAGAGTTTCGCTCGATGGTAAAAGTTATCGTTAGAAGGCGCACTGGGCGAAACGCAAATGCCGCCCTCCCCGTTTTATTACCGACAGGTATTTTTATTATTTCTTATTATGCAGATTGCCCCGCACGGGGCAACTTATATTTCCTTTCTAAAGCTTAAACGACCTTCCCGGGTTCCGAAGCTGAGTCGCGTGGCCGCGGAAAATCTCCGGAGCCTTCCGTTTTTCTTCATTTTCCCGGCTGGTCCGCGAAATCGAGAATCGCCCGGCCACCTCGGCCTGATTTCGCGTTCTGACCGATTGCAACATTGACCTTGACATTGCAAATAACGTCGGTTGGTAAATCATCGGCTGGAAAGTAGCGTGACGACGAGTATTCCGAGAAACCATCGAGCACGGACAGGTGACGAGAGTGCAACGTTATCGGGCGATTTCCTGAAAAATTCTACGGCCTCCGGGGCCTCGATCTTCGGGTGAAACTTTTCACCCCCGCCTCCGTCCAGCGAACGTTTTCACTCAAACTTCTCTCGCCCTTAATCTCCACTTTTCGCGAATCCGTTTACCCGCTCTTCGGATGATAATAAGAATCGAAGAAACGCTCGCCCACGCGCCACTGCGCCAGGAGAAAATCACATTCCGTCCAAGGAACGCCCATAAATTCCCGCGGTGAGGCCGAACCACCTGTTGAGCGTTCCTGCCGACCGGGACTCCGAAAAGGATCCGCACACTGGTCGACTCTTCGAACGATACGCGACGCTTCACCCTCGAATTTACGAGGTTTACCGAAGTTCTAGTCGAGTCGAGTCGAGGAGTGTTTACACGCGCGCAGGTCCGGAGAACGTTGACGCCACAGTCCCTGCACCGCCGCAGGTATTCCGCAGGTATTTGGCAGGTATGTGGCAGGTAACCTCGGACGGTTTGTGCAACGATGCCCGGTCGTGCCGTGGAGGATCCTCCGGCGTGAACCGCACAGGTGTTCGACCCCAGAAAAGGCGACGTGGGTGCGGGCGTGAACCCGTTCTCGTGTGCACGCACCTTTATTGTCAGTCTCCGCACGTAACATTCCACGGGATTGCCCCACCACTCGCGTTACTCGCGTTAAATGCGCCTCCTGGTTCGATGCCGCTAATCGTGCTGGCCGCGAATCGAGATGCGCCCGGTCCTTGTTTATGCGCCGATCGGCGGAGCAAACGGAGCGGTAACGGGGCCCACACTCCTCGAGAGCACATAACCTAATTCCCGGGCGACCACATTTCGGCTCGGGTATGCCAGGAAATCGGAGAACCGGGAACGTATCGATCGACGATTCGCGGACGGTTTAAGCGAAGCGAGTCGACGCCTGTCGGCGTCGCTCGTCGCGTCGACGCGAAAAGAAACTCGCGAGATCCGTGAATCGGCCGGAGGGCTCCGGGCGTGGACTCGATCGCGGTCGATAACGACCTCGGTGGATTATCGGAAATCGAGAGGGGAAAAGAGTCGAGGGTCGGCGAGGTTTCGATACTCACCTATTTACAGGGTCAGAAGGGACGCAGAGGTCTTCGGTGGACCTAAGTCCCGCTCATCCTCGACTGGAAATACCTGAACCACTGCTCGTTACCTGCGGCTCGGCCCCCCTCCGGCGTACCTGACCGCCCGACGTCACTTTCTAGCACGCTCGACGCCGATTGGCCGGCCTGGTCCACCCCGCCCGCCGGATCCAACGGAATTGTCCGTCCCGGCCAGTGGCGTACTCGCCCCATCGGAAACCGGGACCAAGGGGCGCGCGCTCTCCTAATAACGTCGTTTCCGATATGGATTTTCTTTTTCGATTGGCGTACCATGTTCACTTTAGAAAAAATCTTTCGAATGGACAGTCGTCAAGAAAAATATCTTTAGATTTTTGGCCACCGGTTGAAAAACGGCAAAGGTACGAGCCGAAGTGGGGACGGTCTTTCCTACACTGCCGTTGCCGCCATGTTGAATTATCGTATGGCTTGCTCCGCGCGATGAGCGAATCTCACTTGGAGCCGGATTAAACGAGGTGTGCCGCATCTCTCGATTTATTTGTAGTTCCCGGATTACAAGAATCTACTTTTCAAGACTGGTCTTTTTAATTACTTAACGGGATCTTATGCAAAGGCTGTTAACATCTATTCTTTCTTTGTATCTTAAATGAATAGGTTACCGTTGTAATTGAAAACGGCATAAATTATTGCGCTTCCGATTATATTCGCACAGCTAGCATACAAGGACGCAGATGTTTTTCCCTCGGAGTAGTTTTAGATAACATTAAATATGTATAATACTACAGACGTTAACAATTTATTTAGACATCATTTTCAAAATCTTTCGGGTTTTTGCGGGACAGGCGGTGATGTTCCTTCTCTGCCACATCTATTATTAAATACGTAATTACAAAGGCTGCAAAAGAAAAAGAATATTAGCATTACGAATAAAAACTCTATGACGCGGTTTATGTAATGATATTAAATGAAGGCAAGGATCGCTTTACTAACGTGGAACAACTCGTAATACGCTATCCTTAAATCGGCGGATGATATTTGGTATACTATGAGATATTAGTCCCGCAAAAGGTTTTTGTTCGTGTGGGCTGATTCGGAAAGTTACGATTCCGTATATTTTGTGTAGATTTCCAAATTCCTTTCCCATAGTGAAATTTGTCTGAAAAAAATCGAAAGTTGGCAATAAATATTAGTTGTTAAGGCAATTTATTTTAAACGTATGTTTTGTAAATGTGAACAGCTCGGTATTGAATTTCATATTATCCGATATTATGTAAGATGACGTCAAAGTCGATCAATAGTCGTATTTAAGAAAAGCAAATTATCAAAATTCGCCCAAAAAACTATACATTAAATTATGTAACCACGCGATTACCCACCTGCGTCGTCGACGTTCAGTGCAGACAATTTTCCACAACAATCGAAGATAGACGACGGGTTAAAAATACTATGGACCCGTAGGTTATGTCTTCCTTAGAACGGGCAGTATTGCACGAGGAAGAGCAATGCAACGACATTTCATCCAATTGGCTGGCTCTACAAGAAAGTAACGCATATTCGCGAACCGCCCAATTTCCAATCCAATTCGCTTCCATTTTCAAACGATATTTCGATTGGTCGGTCCAGGAATAATTCTCACGAATTGGAAACGGATTCAAAAGCAATTGGCGACGGCATCGCGCGCAGCGATGACGTAAATAATTCCTCCGAGTGGCGCCTCCAGCGCAGGAAGCGTCAAGAAAACTCTTTGCCCCGGCAAAAATCTTTTCTCGCGATCGACCACTCTCCCGTTCCATTTGATTTTAAAATTGGCAGAGCAAGAGGAAAAATGACTCGAAACGAGGAAATCGTCGGAGCATGAGGCGGACGCGAACCGGCTCGATCGATAAGTCCGACCGCCCCTCGCCGTCGGTTGACGGTTCCTCTCTCCGCCGTTCGCGGCGCGGCGGTCGAGCGATGGCTCTCGGAGAAGGAGCGGAGGCGAGAGCAGGAAGAAGCTCGGGACAGTTGGCCGTGCGCGAGGCAGCGCGAAAGCTCCGTGGGGTACATCCCGTAGCTCGCGAAAACCGCGCCGTGCGTAAATCGTCGGGCATCGCGGTTGATACGTCGAAGGTACCTCCCGAGACATGGCCGCGTCGGGACGGCGGGCGATCGCGCACCGGCAGTGCGAGCCGGAGTAACCGAGGGCATCCGCGCTTTCCTCGCGATCCTTGGGATTGGCACGTCGAGCGGCGCGACGCGTCGGGGTCCTCGGGCGACCCCCGAGACCCTCGGGCTCGAGCCAGAGCCATGGTCTCGAAGGTGGACGCGAGCATCGGGTGCGAGCCGCGCTACGGGACCCACCAGCGCGCGCGCGACATGGGCGACAAGGCCGACGGCGACTTCGAATTCGCGATCCCGCCGGAGGCGCCGGTTTTCGAGCCCACCTCGGAGGAGTTCCTGGACCCGCTGGGCTACATCGCGAAGATCCGCCCGATCGCCGAGAAATCCGGCATCTGCAAGATCAAGCCGCCGCCAGTGAGTGTCCTCCCCGAGGAGACCTCTCTCTCTCTCTCTCTCGCTCCCGTGCGGGCCCGACCTCGCGAGTCCCTCTCCCTCTCCGTCCCTCTCGAACGCCTCGCTCGGCCCGGAGCGTCGCGAGAGCGAGAGAGAGAGGACGCCCATTGATTTCCGGCCCATTTCTGGCGGCGGAGGTTTTCCGACCCCTGGGCCCTTTAAAGGGATCCCGGTCGTCCCGGTCGGGACTCCGTTTATTTTTCGTTCCTTCCCGGGGCTCGTGGGACGCACCGGGCCACGAGGAGGCGAGCGACTCGCGAGGGAGGAGGAAAGAGAGCGGACCTCTTCGCGATAACGCGTTTTCGGTCACCATTGTAAACCACTCGGGAGGGCCCTTACGTCACCCGGAGCGCGAAACGACGGGTCTTCTCGGCCCCTGGGGGTCGGGAAACTCCCGACCTGACGAAGAGGATCCTCCACGAAAACTCAACGTGGGAACGAGCGGAGATTCTCGCAGGGGCCATTGTTTTGAGAATCTTGCGAAGTAACGGGAGAGAGACGGCGAGACGCCTCGCGTCGAGCGCTCGGGAGGAGGCTCGTCGACGGACCAGGATCGCTCTCGACGCGAGGAATATCCTCGTGGGAGAGCCAGGAACCGCGGAAGGAGGTTCTCGAGACGGACCATGGCGGAAATGGCCGAGCAAAGAGAACCCGACACTTGCGTCACCTGAAGCACTGCATGTGACAACTGAACGTCTTAACGCGTTCGATAACGCCCGGAATCGTTTGCCGGGGTTCCGGGCCGATGGAAAATCCACGTCGTACGTTTTAATCGCGCCTTTTCTCCGCGTCGCTTTTTAGGCCGAGGAGCCTTCCGCGATTTACGAGACGTCATGGCGGAGGAAAGCGATTGCCCCGAAGTCGAGCTTCGCCCGGGAAGAAAAGGACGGAATTGACGGACGACGCGGAGAAAACGCCACAGCAGGCAAATGGACGATCCTGAGCGGAATCGTCGGGGCATCCATTGTAACTCAAAGAGGACCATGGCGGAAATGGCCGAACTCGGAAAAACGACGCTACGTCCCGCTGGGAACGAGTGAACGGTTTCGGAGATGCCTTTCGAGAGACCCCGGAGATTCCGAGGGTGGTTTTGCCCCTTTTTGGGGACTCTTCCCCAACTCGCGAGGGACGTGGCGGAAACGGCCGAGTGAACGGAACTTCGCGTCATTTCGCAGCACCGTATCGAACAAACGATCGAATTCCGCGGAAATAACGGCCGGCCATGTTTCGGAGAGTGGGAAAAGTCCAGCGGCCCTAGAGGTGGATCAAAAGAGGCTATTATTGCACCTCGGAGACTCGTTATGACTTACGCCGGAGATAACTATGGCGGAATTGGCCGAGTTCTCGGGGAACGAACGCCTTGCGTCCCGAGGCCGGAAGCGAAAATCCTTTTTCTCTTTTTTTTTTTTCTTTTACCTTCCTTTTTGTGGAACGTCCCGGGCCACGTTCAATGTCGGGAAAGGCAAGGAATTGACGGCGGCCCGTTTATTTTCCTCCTGGAATTTTCTTGAGAAATGGGTCGGAGTTTCCTCCGGGGTAACTGCGACGCGACGCCGCTTCTTTAACGAGACGGATCGCGACGCGAATCGACCGCTCTCTCCGTATATCCGTCTCTTGTCCGGACTGGCGAAATTGCCGGGCAATAAATTTCTCCGGAAGGGAGCGAAGGGGCGAGGCGGGAAGGCCGGAAAAGTAACGTCGCCGGAGTCGGGGCTGGAAGATTCAAAGGGTGTCGAGGGTCGTCGGGGTGATTACATAAATTCGCCTGGGAAAACCGGCGAGAGGACTCGCGTCGCTCGTGTCGGACCTCGCCGACCCGGAGAAGAGAAGAAACGCGAACGCAACGCCAGCCGTGGCTTGCGGTACTACAAAATTCAACGCTAAAATGGCCGAAGCAATTAGAGCGGCGACACACCTCGGAAAAAGGTGGCGTCGCTGGAAAAACCCGAAGCGAGGGATTCCGGCCGATCGATCGGACGTCTCTTTTAACGAAAAGGAACGACAAAAAAAATATATTATTAACCACTCGCCCTGGAGATGCCGGGTGAACGACCCCGCGAGACGCGCACTTACAAAATAAGGCGTCAATTATCGGTGACCATCGACGTCCACATCCGATGCATTAAACGAGTGAGGTGAAAAGGTGCGAACGCCAGTGCAAATGTAATTACTGCCGTGACATACGGCATCGGAAAGTTCGACGATAAAATGGCCGGAACTCTCGAAGCGACGATAAATCGAGGCAAGAGGTTGTCGCGGGCCGATCGATCGCTTGGGAAAATATTCGTAAAAAAGTTCCGGACCTTCCAGCGGTAATTAACACCTCCTTGGGAGTTGACGTGGGACCGAAGATTACGAGTGGCCCGGAAAGTTCACCGCGAGATTAACGCGGAATGGAACGTAATCGTGGATTGGGAAATTCGGAGGAGGCTCCGACAGTTCCCCCGAAATTCGCCGGAAAAATGGCCGAGTACGAAAAGAAAGTGGAAGATTGAATGGTACTTCGGAGCAACGACGAGGCTTCCAATATGTCCACCTTCCTCGTCGCGGCGTGGAGTTCGTTTTATTTGTCTGCGCCGTAGACGACGCTCCAGATGAACCTTTTAGATTACGACGACAGAAGACGGGTTTTCACCGTAGACGAGGTCGCCGATGTTTACGCAGAAGAGTCGGGAGGAACTTCGAAATCGATGAATGGAAATGCTGTCGCGTTGCACCATATGGTACTTCGGAATTCACGGATTAAACGGGAAGAAGCCGACGAGGAGGAAAGAAAAACCTCGAATGGCGAACTCTCGACGTAACCGTATACGGCGATTCGTTGAATAAATTATTACCACGCCACGGTTATCGTAATTTTTCAGGCAAGGGGCTGGCAAAGCGCGACGTAATTCGGCCGAGGAAAGGGAAAAAGCGATCGTTGCTCCTTTTTCTTATTTTTAAGACGTATACCCCGTACACGAGGAGATAGAGGTCGCGAAACGCCTCGATAATTATATTAACCGGCGACTGACCGAGAGTTCCTTTCGGGCTTCGTCTTTTTCGAGTACTCGAATCGATCCGCAAATTCGAAACGAGGCCTTCGTGGTTTTCTCGGGGAAACCTCGACGAAGTGCTTTCCTCTCGGCGAGGGGAAAACGAGGGGAAAATTAAATTGCGCGAATGGCCGCTGGATTACCGCACCCTATCCTATGCTCCGATGAGTCAAGGGGACAATACGCATACGAACACGGCCGAACGCGACTTTATGCGGCCTTTGTAAAAATATTTTTTTCTCCACGGGCAGGGCGAATTTACTTGTCGCTCTTGTAATTCCGTAAAACGCAAAAATATTCGTTTCGTCGATTCGAGGACGTTGACTGAAATATACCGAATGCGCGCTGCAAGTAGGAACCGGGATGCGGTATATCGATTACGCTGATTTCAAAGCGGTATAAGTACCTGCAGACCGGAAGCGTTTTTAAGCGAACAAAGGGCCCCTTGGTTCTGGCGCAGCTGGGGGAACGCGTCATATAGGGCAAAAGATTCGACGGTGAAAGTAAAATTTGAAAAATATTCCGGAGGCTCGACTGGTCGCGGGTGTACGTTTTTAATTTATTAAATATACGCGATACCTTTCCTTCCAGAACTGGCAGCCGCCGTTTGCTGTCGACGTCGACAAATTCAAGTTCGTCCCGAGGATACAGAGGCTCAACGAGCTCGAGGCCAAGACCAGGATAAAGTTGAATTTTTTAGACCAAATTGCGAAGTTCTGGGAACTTCAGGGCTCCTCCTTAAAGATCCCCCTCGTTGAGCGAAAGGCTTTGGACCTGTACTCGTTGCATCGGATCGTTACGGAAGAAGGTGAGATTTTTTTTTTCCCTTACGATCTCTCGTAATTCCTTTTCGAGGGAAACGAAATTTTAGTGCCCGGAATGCTGAACCGAGGCTAAATAAATGTTCGTTCCGTTGATCCGTTATATTCCGTTGCTTCCGTAGGTGGAATCGAAACCGTAACGAAGGAGCGACGATGGGCGAAAATCGCGAACAAATTGGGCTACCCATCGGGCAGGAGCGTGGGCAGCATTTTAAAGAACCATTACGAGAGGATCCTGTACCCCTTCGACGTCTTCAAGCAAGGGAAAACCTTAACCGATTTAGTAAGTGGAGGTCTCTCTTTGTGCCCGTGGAAAGATTCGAGGAAAGGGAGAGCACGGTATTTATTTTCGATCGTACCGATGTTGTCTGCTCGCCTCTTATCTCCGCGGGTGCATTTTTTATGCCTGGGAGGAGTTCGGACTTTATCGCTTCACAACACTTCACTTCTATCGTGCGCGGTTAAATCTATCCTAATCAACATCTGTGGGGAAGAACCGGAAAAAATGAGTCGTCGAAATGTGTGGATTATTTAGTGAATACCTGCGATTGTAGTATTAAAATATATTTCCCTCGGGAGTAGTCCCGCGGGAATTTAACGTTTGTTCGTATCGTTACTCTTTAGAAAATCGAGCTGGAGACGGAGGAGAAGCCAGAGAAAAACGAGAAGAAAGACCGCGACTACAAGCCCCATGGTATAATATCGCGGCAACAAATTAAACCTCCGAACGAGAAGTTTTCGAGGCGCTCGAAACGGTTTGCCGGCCAGGAGGAGAAACATGGAAACGGCTTGCCGATCAAGCAGGAGGATTGCAAGGAAGAGTGCGAGTCCGATAACGAATCTAAAGACGTACACAAATTCGTGGACCTGCAAAGGGATGAAGATAGCAAGGACAGCAAAGAACTGCGGAAGTTGCAGTTTTACGGTGCCGGTCCGAAGATGGCTGGTTTTAATACCAAAGACTCTAAAAAGGGGAATAAGACGAGGGGAGTCAAGCTCCACTACGACTTTGATCCGGTATATATACTTTTACCGAAAAATGTTTCTTACGATGATCTCGAAAATTAGTACGTTTCACGAATTGATCTTTTTCCTTTTTATTAGCTGGCAAAGTACATTTGTCACAACTGCGGAAGGGGCGATACCGAGGAAAGTATGCTCCTTTGCGATGGATGCGACGACAGCTACCACACGTTTTGCCTTTTGCCACCGTTGACAGAAATTCCAAAAGGGGATTGGCGCTGTCCAAAGTGCGTCGCCGAGGAGGTTTCAAAACCGATGGAAGCTTTCGGATTCGAGCAAGCCCAGAGGGAATATACTCTACAGCAATTTGGCGAAATGGCTGACCAGTTTAAAAGCGACTATTTCAACATGCCCGTGCACGTGAGTCCGTTTATCTTTTTGGAGGAATTAAAGCGGTATTACCCGAGCGTATCGATACTTCGCATTTACTGTAACTGGAGCAAAATGGCGATTCTGGAAACACCGGTTTAAAGGCTGCAGAAAAAGATCAATAAGTCCTCTACCGCTTTGAAGTACACGTTGTCCCAGGGTATATACGGACAACTCAAAGTTTATTTTTATCTCTTCAAAACACCTAAAGGTTACAGCGGTGTACTTGTATCCAGTGGTGACTACGGCCAAGAATGAAATTTTTTCTCTTCGAATTGATGCTACCGGTTCGTAACGATGCTTAATGTAGGTATTTGTTTTATATTTTATAGATGGTACCGACATCTTTAGTAGAAAAGGAGTTTTGGCGAATTGTTTCGTCGATCGACGAGGACGTCACCGTCGAATACGGGGCGGATCTGCACACGATGGACCATGGTTCTGGATTCCCGACGAAAACTAGCGTCAATTTATTTACCTGCGATCAGGAGTACGCCGAGTCGTCCTGGAATTTGAACAACTTACCCGTTCTACGCAGCAGCGTCTTAGGCCACATCAACGCAGACATCAGTGGCATGAAAGTACCCTGGATGTACGTTGGCATGTGTTTTGCGACGTTCTGCTGGCACAACGAGGACCATTGGAGCTATTCCATTAATTATTTGCATTGGGGTGAACCAAAGACTTGGTACGGTGTTCCTGGATCCCTAGCCGAGCGGTTTGAGCACTCGATGAAATCTGCGGCTCCGGAATTATTTCACAGTCAGCCCGATCTGCTGCATCAGTTGGTCACGATTATGAATCCTAACATTCTTATGAACGAAGGTAACGGCATTCGATATTTAGACCTTGATTAAATTATAAGTTTAACTGTCGTGACGAACGTTACGTTAAAATTACATTTATTGATTTTTTTTTTTTTCCAGGAGTACCGGTATTTAGAACGGATCAACATGCAGGGGAATTCGTAGTCACGTTTCCACGGGCCTATCACGCTGGTTTTAATCAAGGCTACAATTTCGCAGAAGCCGTGAATTTTGCCCCTGCGGATTGGGTAAGTTTATTCCAATAAAACGCTCTTAAATTCTTTTTAAATAAATATTACCAGTACATAACGTCATAAAGTATACCATTTATTAATGTTTCGAATTTTTTTATAGCTGAAAATGGGTAGAGATTGCATTACCCACTACTCGAATCTCAGGCGATTCTGCGTGTTCTCTCACGACGAACTCGTCTGCAAGATGTCATTGGATCCAGATTCTTTAGACATCGGAATCGCAACTGCAACTTATCACGACATGCTGCAGATGGTGGACGACGAAAAGAAATTACGGAAAAATCTTCTGGAATGGGTAAGTTGGCTTTTCTAACAATTTTTAATAAACTTCAGTTTGTGCCTAACCTTTTCGATCCATTCTGTAGTTTATTAGTCATATCCTTAGAACTTGATAGTTGTTGACTTGACTAGATGTTTATGCATGGTTTATTTTTAAAACAAATATAAGTAAGGCTCTAAGTGGCACGTTCAGTAGTAGAAAGAAAGATTATTTTAAGGTAAGTGAAAAACCTGTCCCAAGCATTGAACGAACACATGAGAATCCATTTACCAAAAAGTTATTGCATAGAAAATAATGATTCAATGATAATTATTCGATTTTACTTCTCTTGAAGAATATACGAACAGAGCATTTCACGGTTTATCTTCGCTTCTAGTCTATCACTTTTAACGGTTCATTTGAATCACGTTGTAAGCAGGGTTTCCGTACATTAACATGAAACATTATGAGAAGGGAAGACTGTTTGATTTGTGCGGGGTCGCGTGGTCGGCCATTAATGTGCCCACTGTTGCGCTATTGGCTGATCCTCCGCCGCCATTTTGGTAACATGGCGACACACCGAACGCTCACCTGATGCAATCTGGCAACATTGGTCGCGATGCCACATGCCACTCGCCACATGCTAAGGCGCCGTTCGTTGTCCGGCTGTAGGTTCACCCACTGGTACCCAATACCCGCGCACGGTTGCACACAGTCGACACGATCAACACAGCTGGACGGTGCACCGCTCGCCGCATCCCGGGAGCGTATGTGTGCCGCCGCTGCCAGTCGGTCAGACGTCGCGCACGAACCCGTCGTCCACGTTGCTTTGCTTCGCGCCGTACCGCACACTCGGACCGTGGATTATACTCTCGTGCATTAATTGCCGTGCAGGCACGAAACGCATCGCGCCCCTCGAGGCGATTTCCGGTAATCGGTCGCAGTTCACGGCCTCCAAGCGGTCGGCTCTTAACCATGCTTTTGGTTTTGATTATGTAACTTCGTAACCAGTGAGTAGAGGTTATGTTTTCCATACCACATTCCTATCGCCACGACGCTCCTTCGGTTTTTTCCAATGCTTTTTTTACTGTATTTCGCTCGTACGGTTTGTTCCCTTTTGATGGAGGTATAATACTTCAAACACGTATTTGCGTGCCTTTGGTGTAAATTATGGTCGGTATTTATATGCTAAGCATGTCGCACGCTCGGAGAGCACAAGGCTACGGCTCGTAGGCGTTTCTGTGATTCTTTTGATGCGCTACTCGGTGTATTCTTTAGAATGAGGAATAGAGGCGAGAGAAAAGTAATGTGCTGTTTTGAGATTCTTTGGAGCCATCCAGTAGTATTGTAAATTTTTAGATTGCAGTAATTCCATTGTACTTGGTTTGAAGTATTTAATATCATCTGGAAATAAAAATTAGGAAATGTAAATTTAGCACTGTCGTCTTTGTTCGTTAATAATACATTTTTATAGTAATGCATAATTATCTCCTGATACTGACAGTTGCTATGTATGTATTGTGCTCAGGGAGTAACGGAAGCAGAAAGAGAGGCCTTTGAGTTATTACCCGACGATGAGAGGCAGTGTGAGGCATGTAAAACGACTTGCTTTCTCAGTGCGGTGACCTGTTCGTGTCACAGTTCGCAATTGGTGTGCCTGCGGCATTTTACGGATCTCTGTGATTGTTTACCGGAGAAGCATACGTTACGATATCGGTATACTTTAGACGAATTGCCCATAATGTTGCAAAAATTGAAACTTAAGGCAGAGTCGTTTGACTCATGGGTTACCAAAGTGAAAGAGGCAATGGACCCTCAAGGTGACAAAATCGAACTCAGTGAACTAAAAGAATTGCTGAACGAAGCGGAAACAAAGAAATTCCCCGAAAGTGAACTATTGACGGCATTAACAACGGCGGTTCAGGATGCTGAAAAATGTGCTAGCGTTGCCCAGCAACTTTTAAATAACAAACAGCGAACTAGGTTAATACCGATTTTATATAATGATTTTATTTTTAAAAATAAAAATTTCAAGTGTAGCGTTTGTAAACTCCTGGACTGTTTTCAGGACCAGGCAAACTGTGGATACCAAGTACAAACTTACCGTCGAAGAGTTAACTCTTTTTTATAAGGAAATTACGAATCTATGTTGCGAACTTAAGGAATCTGATGGAGTAAAATACATCTTAGATCAAGTCTTACAGTTTCAAAAGGATGCGGAAGAAATAGAATCTGACGGAGATAATTGCAATGTAGAGAAGCTTGAAAAATGTATAGACTTTGGAGATTCCATTTGTATCGAGTTACCTCAACTTGCGCGCCTGAAACAAGTAAGTTATATTTTGATTAGGTTTTATACAACATTTTTCATAATATTCTAGAAAGCATGTTTTACGCCGTTGTTAAATTGTTTCAGAGGTTAATGCAAATTCAATGGCTGGAGGAAGTGAAAGTGATTCAAGAAGAACCAAAATCCGCGAGCCGAGAAGATATAGCTCAGTTGGTGGAAAAAGGAATGACTATCCCCCCGCATATCAGCATTGAGACTACTCTAGCTAAGCTGCAGCATCTTCTTGTCAACATTGAAAAGTGGGAGGAAAGAGCCAAACTTTACCTACAGACAAAAAACAGGCAGACCGTGACCGCCGTCGAAGAATTTCTTCACGAAGCCGAAGAGATCGAAGCATATTTGCCCAGTCTGGACAATTTACAAGACACTCTGACAAAGGCCAAAGGTTGGAGCAAAACTGTAGAAGATATCCAAGCGAGAGAGAACTTTCCGTATTATGACACATTAGACGACTTAGTCCGCAAAGGTAGAAACATCCCATTACATCTGGATGCTCTGCCGATACTCGAATCCACTTTATCCCAAGCAAAATCCTGGAAGGAGCGGACGGCTAGAACTTTTCTTAGGAAAAATTCTCACTATACCTTGATGGAAGCTCTGTCTCCGAGAATAGGTGTCGGAGTTCAAGCAATGAAGACGAAAAGAAATCGGGGTGACGAGTCCGTTGGAGCAGTTTACGTTTGCGACACAAAACTTGACGATACGAATGACTCGGCCAACGTTGTCGCTGCTTTCAAGTTGGCCGAGCAGCGCGAAATGGAAGCCATGCGAAATTTAAGAGAGAGGAATATCTTGAAGACTGCCATGGAAGATGCCAGGTACTGCGTTTGCCGCAGACCGAGGTTTGGCTTAATGTTGCAATGCGAGCTGTGCAAGGATTGGTTCCATTGTAAGTTGTTTGTGATCTCATTACTTGGCTATTCTCTTGTTACGCGTTTCTACTTTTTCTATTCATTACATAGCGCACTCATATTGTGGCCACAGAATTTTTAAAAATAAACCTAGCTCAGACGTTTGTCAATCATAAATAATTTAGGCATTTCTGAATTGCAAAAGTAACGTTCTGTACAATTCCAGCAAATTGTGTTCCCATGCCGAAAACAACGTATAAAGGTAAACTGCCAATGTCACGGGAGACCAAATTCCTTTGTCCATGCTGCTTGAGATCTCGTAGACCTCGTTTGGAAACGATCTTGGCGCTTCTAGTAAGCCTACAGAAAATTCCTGTTAGATTACCGGAAGGGGAAGCTTTACAGTGTCTCACGGAGAGAGCGATGAACTGGCAGGTACGTTATTAAAAAATTATTAAGCATACAGAATCCTGGAATACCTGCCAATATGCATCATTGATATCTGATTTTACATTAGGATCGAGCTAGGCAAGCTTTGGCCACGGAAGAACTTTCCTCGGCATTGGCCAAATTATCGGTACTTTCGCAAAAAATGGTCGAAGCGGCAGCTAGAGAGAAAACCGAGAAAATTATCAGTAGTGAATTGAAGAAGGCAGCCAACAATCCTGAACTTCATCAAAGAGTGCAAGCTATCGCTCCTCTCAGCGGGGTGCACTCCGATGACAGTGCTCCTAGTACTATCGTAAGTATTTAACGGTACCTGATAATAACAATGTCTATTAAAACTATGCATATTTTAGGACGATGATGACGACGTAGTTACCATTGACGACGACGAGCCCACGTGCAGTACCTTCAACAGTAACGAACACACGTATTCCTACGGTAATTATTATCCTAACGTCAATCATTTCTATTTTTATTCTATCGTCTAATCGTCCATCTGTCTGTCGCGTGAAGTGGTCTTCACAGTTGTCACTTGTTATATGCAACAATGTTTGCTCGTAGTCTCGAAGTTCCAGCCCAAGGCTCAACCTCACAATGCCGAAGCTGCCGTTATTTTATCGGACAGTGCAAGGATGCGGTTAGAGGAGTTGATGATGGAAGGAGACTTGCTGGAGGTAGCTTTGGACGAGACCCAACACATCTGGAGGATTCTGAGCCACACGAATACTCCAAATAGCATGCGAAAGTACGCTGCTTTCGACGACGTTCGAGCGGCCGTTAATCATGACGCCAGGGAGATTAAAAAACGCGGTAGAAAGCGAAAGTCGGATGAGTTTGAGTTGCTGAAAAAACTCGGCCGGCAGAAATTAGAGGAGAACAATTTGATTAAACGAAAAGGCCTGAACAAGGACAAGAAAGTTCTAAATCCTCCAGGACAAGTGAAGCGCGGCCCGAGAAAGGTAACGATCAATGTGGTTGCAGAATCGGTGCAATCCGCGGATCACTAGCCATTCGTTCCCGAGGACCAAGTCGGTTAGCTCGATTTCAGTACAGTTATGATTGCAGATCAAACGCAAGGAAGGAGAGGAGGGGCCCAAAAAACGAAGGGGCAACCGGAAAAAAACTAAGCAAGACACCTCCGACGAAGAAGACGATTGCGCTGCCGTCAGCTGTTTACGACCAAGCGGTAATTACGTTTTCTAAATTAAAGTTGAATTTTGAAAAATCGAATTTTTTGTCAATATTAATATCGATTTTTTCGCGTCTAGGTCGCGAAGTAGATTGGGTGCAATGCGACGGTGGTTGCGACGGTTGGTTCCACATGCACTGCGTCGGTCTGGATCGCACAAAAATAGCCGAGGAAGATGACTTTATTTGCAGTAATTGCAAAGACGCGGATCAGAGTGCAACGGTATGTTAACACGACTCGATCCTTGGTAGAGTTTCAGATTTATTTTCTGGCTCGTTTTCGACTGCTTGTACGGGAGCGGCTGCGTTTTGTTTTCGAAATTTCTGCCCCCTTTTAAAAGAAGAGAAGCTCAAAATCCCTGCAGTTACGCGCGTCGATCGGTAGACGTAACTCTATCCGTTCTGCACGATCGCTTTCGTGACTCCATCCAAGTTTGCAGAATTGGATGATATTTCAAACGAAACTAATCGAAAGACTTCGACGAACGTTATTAGTCACACCTCGGTGAAAGTGCTAAAACTTTCTCAAGATTAGATTTCAAGTGGTCGTTACCTCGAACGGGATTCTCTAGCAAAGGCCCCAGCTCGCGTAGCGTAACTTGGAACGAATCTCGCTAGCTGCGCTAGTATCAAGCTTCACGGAGCATCGTATCTTTTTTCTTGTGTGTTGTACAATGTAGTTGCGAGCGCCAGATCCACTGGCCGAATCATTAGGCCTGGATGCACTTCTTTCCCTTTCTCAGTCCCAGGGGTACCACAGCACGGACACCGAGCCGGAGATACAGGAGACGTCGTCCTTCGTCAGGATCTACTAGCCCCGAAGCGCCTCCAGCTAGTTTTGCACAAAGCTACTATGGTACAGAAATCCAAAAGCCACCGACAATGCCGACGAAAAAAAAGTGTCGGCGACAAAATGAGAGAGAGGTCCTCGACGGAAAGGACCGCGAACCGATTGTCGCCTGGGCTTGTCGACATCCCAAAGCACCGAGGCTGGTGGTCTTCGAGAATTCCTAAATACCGAAGGTAAAACGTTGAAAGATGACTTCCCGAAAAGGGAGAGAAAGAGAGACCGAGAGAAAGAGGAAGGGAGGGTGAGGAAGTAAGAAACCAAGTGGAGAGGATAAAATTGCGAGAGTATTCCTACGCATTCTGATATGAACAGTATCGCCAAATGTACGTCTTCGTTTCCCTAATTTTAATTACGACGGGCGAGCTTGGTTACGCGCGGATACAGATTCTCGTTTACTTTTTACCTTCTTGGGACTGACGCGCTAGTGCGGTCGCAAACATTCTAATATTACCCCAGAGCGATGTTTCGTTTTTAGTATTCTACGTTAGAGTGGATCCCGGCTGTTGTCGCACGGAACGGGATAACGTGTAATGTCTTAATACCCACCGTGGATAATTATTTACAGAAAGGATGAGCGATTCGTTCATGTCGGCCTGGGTGTATCGGTTAAAGTGTTCTTTGAGGGAAAGAAAGGGGGGCTCGAATCGAGTTACCGCATCGGGAACCATTATTCTCTTTTTTTTTTTTCTGGTGTGATATCGTAAGGAACCGACCACGCTCGGTTTCGCTTTCATTGGCTTTATCGTTATGGTACTCTGTATATGTTCTTCCTTACTTTTTATCGACGAGGAAATGCGTCTAGGAGAGGACGAATCTTTTGTATCGCGGATGTGCTCGTCGCGGATGAACCGCGACACGCGATCGTTCCTCGTTTACTTAACTCGATGCACGGTTTTGTCGATGCCCACAGATTGGACGTTATCGTTCGAACGCTCGATAGATGCCGATACGCGAGACGATGCGGAATGAAACGATTTTATAAATAAGGAGGCATTCTTTTAGTGTCGTAGGTCAGAGACGACGGTCTCGCGCTACTTCTCACCATGTGTCGCCGCGATGCCATGTCGGGATGTGTCTCGAGGGCTGCGGTTTGTCAACTACTATACCAGTATATCGTGATGCTAATACGATAATGTTTACTCCTCACTCTGTATCGTCATTTTCGTTTGAGAAATGCACAAAGATGCGACATTTTTTCATTACATTGTACGATAGTAATTGGAGGTACAACAGATTTTTTTTTTATTAATCGTATGGTGCTCTCTGGTTTCTCGGAAACCGTACCTGCTTGGTATTGCATTTTTAGCAATTTATCGTTTACAATAAATCGGTAGACTCATTTTCATTCAGAATACGGTTCACTATAATTTGCGTTAAAATTTAGTGATCTTGTAAATTTATGTATTAGCATCATGTAATATACGCAGCACACGAGATACCAGTGATAGGGAGTAAAAGATTCAGATGTGCTCAAATTCTCCCGAAACGAGAACAGTTTCTCGCCGCGGCTTTACATTAAAGGATCCTACATAGTTATTAGAATCGTCAAGATGTACGTGTAAAGATTTTGTAGACTGATTAAAATGATTTTCGCGCGATTCGCTGGGAGAAAGAAAGATCCGTTTAAGTTGTTTCATAGTTTTTTTTTTTTTTACTTCGTTAACTTACCGCGATGGCCGGGACTCGGACGAGCTCCCGTCCATTACGCGGCGTGTACAGACTGGGTATAATATGTATTAAAATAGATTTATATCGTTCATCGGGAAACAATCGATGTGTAAGACACACGTAGATGTACAAAAGAGCGAGAGAGGGGGATAAACGAGGGACTTTTCAAAAATTCAGCATATCTACTATGCCTTTTTTTGGGAAGTTTCGATCAGTCTATATACACGCAGCGATGTCTTGCATCTTGGCTAAGTGCGCCGTGAGGTCGTCGTTTTCTTCGTGTAGGTGTAGTATATCTCGTTTCATTCAAGTATTTATTCGTCGCGGATTCACAATTATTGTGTCGTTATCCTCGCGAAAGGTGTCAAAGTGACGTTCGTCTTTATTCGACCGGTGTTTATTTAATAACTTATCGTCAAAGCTTCGGAGTTGGCCGCATCGACATTTCGACCTATGTCTATTCCAGGATTTTTTTACGGTAAATCCACGATTCCTATAATAGAGAGTATGCGTGAAACCGTTATTCCGCTTATTTCGAGACGATATCAACTTAGGAGTCTTTTAAATAGCAGTTGTTAATGACGACGTTACGACGTTCAGTCCGGGCTGACTGACTGACTTAGCAATTGGATGCAAATTACACAGTAAATTTGGATGTTCTATCGCGGCGAGAGCCGTCGCCTAATGCCTCCGAAAGTCCCTTTTGATATTGTCAGTTGTGATATTTGTTTATAAAATGAGGGGAGCAAAAAGTAAAAAAAAAAAATGTGTACTGATTACTATCTTCTCGGGACTGGATTCTTTATTGAACGAAGAAAGGATCCAGCGAAACTCGTGCATGTTCTCTATTCACTTTGTTGCCTTGTAAGGTACGATACAGTCGAGCCGAATAAATATCGATGCGCCAGACTCTTGACAGAGTTGGGTCGAGCAGTTGCTTCTCCTTCCTGCTACGAGTACAAAAGTATCGACATCAAAATCAAACTCGTTTGCGTTGAATTTACAAAATAGTTCACTTATTACGGATTCGTCCGACTGTTTCTCCCAACTCTGAACCATACCGCGACAGTCTCCATTTGCGAGCATTGCCAAACGCTGACTGAAAAAAAAAGAGAAAAAATCACCAAGAAGTCTCATCGTTCTCGCGAGAAATTCAAATTGCCACGTCTCCACTATCTTCCTGGCCGTGAGAAAGTTTCTTGTTCTCCGCGTTAATAATGTCCAGAATAAAATCCAATGCGGCGTCGGAAACTCGACTTCGCGCTTTGCGAAGTCTCAGAGTCGAGAGATCTAGTGCACATCGTATGTGACAATTCTCTCGAATGCGTTGTAGATGTAGCGGGTGATTTTTAACTATTGGGTTGGTGCATAAGTTTCTGCGTATTTTTTTTGTAACTAGTTTTCCTAGTTTAAAAAAACTCACCAACTTATGCACCAATCCAATACTTCGTCAGTCGGGGGATGTATCTCGCGGGTCCACTCTGGGCCGGTCGAATTTCTCGCAGCTTAAATGTATTGTAAAAAGAAGAAAAATCAAAGAGCGAGACTCGTAACGCGATTCCTCGGTGTCCGGCGCAAAAAGCGTGGCAATCGTTAACCAACGATCGAGCGGCAATTTCGGCGTCGATGTGCGAAAACAAGTGAACAAACGTCATTTCGCGATCCGACATTCGACGCGAGCGAGAACGTCCAAGAGACGACCGGTTACTTTCTCGGTCGAGCCCGCAAGAGGTGTATTAAATTGGTTAATGCATCGGACATTGATAATCGGAAGTGATTAGTTGGAACGTACGTATCACCGAGATGCGCGGCATTCAAAGCGCCCGTCTAAGTACACTATGTATAAAGAGGAAATTTTATTCTAGGCTTAGAGGAGACGACAGAGAGAGCGAGAGAGAGGGAGCGTCGCGTGTCCGAACGCGAAACTTTGTACAATTAAAAAAAAAAAAAGGAAAAAGGAGAAAAACACTGTTACGATTAATCTCGAACTTTTTAAGTGAACTTAATATGTTAGCGGTATTGTAATTAAGGGTATATTATGACGACGTATGACACACACAGTACGTTTTAAATACACGGGTACGTGTTCCGTTTAAAACAGGCTGTGAAGGAAATAAAGGTAGAGTCAAAATGACGTGACGCGTATATATATTTTTGTAGACTTGAGATGTGGCTGGCGGGCGAAGCGCCGCGGGTCTCAATTTATTTTTATATCTGGAGATAACGATACGCGCAAATTTGATAATTGCAACGGCGGAGTGTCATTCGGCGCGATGAATTCGGGCCAAACGTTTTATGGGGAGCAAAGGTGAGAACGGGACATGATTCAAGTATGAAATTTTAGTAAGGCCCCAATAGCTCAAATTCGCTGGCTCGATGATCCGTATTTATGAAGTGCGCATAATTAATCTCCATATCAAAATGTTTTTGAGTCCCGCGGCGCTAATGTAGCAGGGCTTAGGGAAGCAACGCACGGAGTTACCGTGTTCATTTGCATCGTTCCTTTTCACCGATACATCACTACGAGGTGGTTATTACATTCTGTTTATCCTCGAGGTTGTTATCTCCCTCAAAATCCTTTAGCTCGAGTAACGAGTGGTTTTGTACTTACTGCCGCAGGATCACGTGAAATTTCAACGTTCGTTCCGAGAGCTCCTTCTTACATACAAACGAGAAGGTTTGTCGCGAAATGTTGTTTTTCTCTTATCGCTATTTGTTTCTTTGTAGATTTTATCCGTCCACTTTTCGATTCGTGGAAGGTGAGATCCCAAAAGTTACGAAGGAAAACATTCCGCGAATTATTTAAAGATTAAACGACGATTATTTCGGAAACAGCGAAATCTTCTGTTGCAGATAAGATATCGAACCAAACGTCCAGTCGCAATCAACGAGAACACGTTACGTTACATTCGCCTCGCATTGCTCCCTCTTTTACGATTACTACTTTAATTAATTTAAGAATGGCATCACCAGTGTATCGCTATTACGATTTATGGTTCGAAATCCGATTGTTTTTTTGCTTTAACCGATTCGACACCGAAAGAGAAAGTTTCCTCCGAGTAAACTCGAATTTTTACCAAATTGGGGTACGACGTTATATTTGTTCGCCACTAGGCTTATCGGTCACCTTTCATTCGAATGTATTTTCAGCGATTGTTGCCTTGTTAGTATTTTGTTCAATTTTCTTTTTTTTTTAATTATTATTATTTACTTAGTAAGAGAAATCTTACGATGCGCGAAGAAACGTGGCTTTGCATTACGGTGGTGTACAACCTTCTTCGTTTTTTTTTATTTAGTATCCCCTAATCATCATCCCAGATAGATGAGATAATATAGTAATATAGATCTGTTAAACCCTCGCGAAGAATTTACCCTGCTAAACTTATCGAAAACAAGGTAAAGTTATAGTTAATCGCATAAATCACTATTTTACTATATGACACAGAGAGTGTAGGATAATCCATCGTACACAAAATTCTAGATACACGCAGATATTTATGAACTGTACGCATAGAGATAAAAGAACGGTAGTTATAGATGTTTATTTGTAAGATCTTGTCGTATTGACTTTCGGTAAAATATATCAAATATATATGTGTATATACATACATTTATACATATATGTACGTGTACCGTTAAAAGTGTAATTATTTCAAAGCAAACAAATTTCATCCCGAAGGGCGGTATTTTTTTTACGGCCACTGATCCCCAAAATTCTACTTGACACAAAATTTTCTTCCATTCGAGTTTGCATCTAGACTTTTGTTAATCTTATGAAGAACCTAGAAATCTTATCGTCGCATTCGTTTTATTTTATAACGTGCATTTGGTACCGATTTCATTACGAGCAAGAGTCTTTGCATTCCTATAATTATTACGACCTTGTCATCGAAGAAACCGCGAATCGCAAAGGCACAATACACAATGTCGTGATTTTACGTGTGACTCATCGCGTCATTTTAATTCTAACCGTTGCATTATTATCATTTTAAAAAGTTCGTGATTCATCGCGAATAACTGACTCATTTCTTCAAGATTTCGGAACGTATACCGCGAGGGTTCCGCCTCGAGAATGCAGAAGGTACAAGTTAAGCCATTGCAGAATTCACAATACCGGGGCATCGGTTAAGGTTTTGGAACCACGTTAAAAAGGGTTGCTAATGGAAGCGAGTTTGCTCCCCATATGCCAGCGACAGATGCTCTTCGCCGTGTCGGAAGTAGAGTCATATCTCAGGTGCCATACGCTTCTTTCGTACGCATTATTCAAAGTCGACGCTAATAATCAACATCTGGCTCACTACGGCCAATAAATCAAGGTTTTATAAAATAGGAAAATATTACCTTGTCCAGGGCTTCGGATGGATCTCGACCGAGATTTTGGTTTCTTTTGAGTAACGAGTTATTTACCTTATTTACAGCCCCATTAATCTATACGTATTTTAGGTACGGCTGCGCGCGCATCACGGATTTCGAGAATCGATCGTAAACTCGCCGTTAAGGTTATTTTTACCTTTTCGAGATTAAATGTTCATACCGGAGATACCTTTGAGACAAGGATACTTCTTTATTCCCCTCTTGCAGCCAGATCACGTCGCGAAAATAAATAAGAGGCGGAAACTCCGTAGACGTTGACTCCGTTTTCAGGGCTACGTATGTCGCGCGTGGCGCCCCCACCTCGCGTTCCGGGTACTACCGCAACTTTGAACTTTGTCGCGCGGCGCGCATGCGTCACTCCGCATTCCTCGGGCAATCGCTCGCTTCGATCCAAAATTTTGGGTCCTCCCGCGAAACACCTCCACCCGGCATCGTTAGATTTAACTCTTAAGATAAAAAGTACTCGTTATTTATGACAACCCAGGGTGCTCTTCGAGCCGCCTCGTGTCCTCGGACGCAGTGCGAGACGTTCTCGCGACGTTCGCAACGAGCCCGATGGGAAAAGAAAAGGCAGAAGAAACGTTTGATCGAATCCCACCCCTTCCCACGCGATTAGCCCACATCCACTCGGCGTGGTCGCGCGCAACGCAACTTCCGAGTGGGCCGCTCGGATGCGAGGGCGGGTGCGCGTGCACCGAGCCAAGGACCGCGGGCCCTGCATCGCGTCGCCGAAGGGCGGGCCACCGCGGCGGCGATCCGAGTCCCGCCGAAGTCGGCCGAAGTTGGCCGAGCGAGCGAGGGAACCCGCGTGACCCGCGGACCCGGCGGGTGAGTCGTCGCTCGGCCGGTGCGCGACCCGAGGCCAGTCCCCGCCGGTCCTCGGCAGTCCTCGGGTGTCCTCGGAGAAAGCGAGAGACGACGCTCCGCAGCCTCCGCGCGCGCGCGCGAGAACCGACAGTATTCGGAGAACCGGTGCCCAGGAACGAGCCGACCCCGACGGAGCGGTGCGCGCGACCCGAGCCGAGGCCCCGCCGAGCACCTGCTCGGAAGAGAACCTGCCGGAGAGCCGAGTCGGAGCTGCGCGCACGGAAGGACTCCGGCAACAACATGGCCACCGCGATCGACGACCGGCAGGAGCTGCTCGAGCAGTTTCAAGCGGTGAGCGAACCGGCTTCCTTTTTACCTACCCGGACGGCAGGTTCGCGGTTCCTTATCGATCCTGCGCTTATCGCGCGGCCCGCGTGGCCTGCCTCCCGGTGCCGCGTGGCGAGGCCGACGGTCCTGGGCTTCCTGCCAGGACTCTCGCGAGCGCCTGCCCTTTTCCCCGAAGGGATGGGCCCGCTTCTTCGAGGTCGATCGAACCTTTTAAACGTCCCCTCTTTCCGCTCGCTTCTTCGCCTCGAGCTCCGATATACGCATTAAATTGAAAATATTTTATTTCCTCGTCAAATTCCTACCTGTCGGGACGAGACGGGTATTCCCGGTTTCGGTCGCCGGCACCCGCCCTTTCGCCCCCAAGATGACCGCCTTATCGCTCGATTTCAAGGCCACGTTGCGGTACTCGGCGCTCGAGGGATTCGAAAGGACCGATCGTGCCTGCCGACGATTCGGCTAGAATTCACCTCGCGATTATTCGCGAACTCGCTTCATTTTCGATACCTTCTCTTTCGGCGAGGCGCGCGCGTGGTTTACGCAACGCTCCGGAAAAAGTAACCGGCGCGTTGCTTTTATCGCTCTTCCGGATGCTCCGGCGGTTCCGGGGAAACCCCCGTACTCGAACTCCCGGGTGGACGAAAAAATCTTTCCGGGCCGCGAGCGCGCCGCCGGAGACCGAGGACACGTGCGATCCTCGAAACCTAAATATTTACCGTGCGGGGCCGGCGTAATCGCGGTATCGTCGAGACGTCTCCGGCAACTGTTCCAACCCGAAATTCGGAAACGCGTTCCTTCGACGCGGCCACCTTTCCGACTTGGAAGCGAGTCGTTTGGTCGCTCTTACGAACGAGTTCGCGTATTCCCGGAGAGATAACTCCGAAAGGCGGAGGAACCACACCTTTGGACGACGTTGCCACGTTTACCCGAGCGCCTCGCGGCCGAGGAAGAGGGAAACGGGGGGCGTCGTCGACGACGAGCAAGTTATCGCGAAAAGGACGAGACCGAGAATTTTTCTCGTCGCCGGGTGTCGTTCCTGCGTTCCGCGTATCTTAATCCTATGCGCCACTCGCGCGGCATCGATTCGAGAAAGAGGTACGAATGGTTTTTTCGAATCCAGGCCACGACCCTCGCGGCCGCTCCTGGGCCGAGAGAGCGCGCGGGTGCGGACGTAAACTCGTTTCTGGACGTCGGGGCTTAACCTACGCTTAACGGATATCGGATTCCTCGGTCCTCCGAGGGGAGGGAGAACGCGCTCTCGAGACCAGGAAGCGTGCCCTCGCGTTATGTCGCCGGCCCCGGATTATTACCTCCTCCTGCCCCCGGCCTCCCTCCGGCTTTCGGTGCACTCCTGACCGGCGACGAGTCCGGGGGAGAGGAGGACCCCTTCTCCGTGTTTTTGCAAATCAAATGCCCGGCCACGTAGACCGTGGAACGGGAAGCGAACCGTCGCCGGAAATCGAGCCCGCGGATCGGAGGAACTTTTTCATTCCATCCGAAAAGTTGGTCCTGGGGGATTAATTTCGAGGGCCATTTTGGGGAATCGGGTGCGAGGGAGTTTTTCCATCGTTCACTTTGACAACCGGAGCAGGGGAGAATTTTGGGGAAAAATTGGAGCACGACGGGGAAGGAACGTTTTCCCCTCGAGGGTTCAATTCTCGTTCCGCTGACCCCTCACCTCGGGACGTCGGTGCGAATTTTTCCTTCGCGGGAGTCAACGACGATTTAAATCCCGCACACATCGCGGCCGTAAACGCTCGCCGTGGGCGACGCGGCGGGGACGGGGCGGACGTTACGCGGGCGCGTAGGGATAAATAGGGTGAACGAACGTCGACGGGGGCGCCGATCCCGAGCCCTTTGTGCCTCCTCTCGAGGGTTGAATTTTGACAGTCCCGGCCACCCTCGGGTGACCCCGTTCGAGGGATGAATTTTCGTTTAAAAACGAGGAGAGAACCGAGCTCTCGGCGACGGAGAACGTCGGAAGGCTGGGAAGTTGTTCCCCGAAGTCGGCAGGGTGCGGGCCGGAATTATCTCCCTTTGATCGCGTCGACGCTGCAAATTCATCCCCCGGCCTCGGGAGCACCCCCTCTCGGGTGGATTCTCGACGTGGCTCGGTTTTCAACCCCTTTGCGGCTGACGCGAGGGTCGAAAACGGCTCCTCGCCGGAGAAGAGAACGAATTTGCGCGCCGATTCGTGTCCCCTTCCGGAACGGGCGGAAACGCATCTCCGCGGTCCCCATATCACCGCGATACGGACTTCATGGAATCATCGCCGGAAGGATCGCTCCTCCTCGAGAGGGCGTGCCCGTTTAATTTTCATCCATACTTTTGTTTCTTCGCTTGATATTTATTTACGCCGCGCACTTTCCTCGGAAATTGTGCGTTTAGCGTCCGCACGGGCCGGATTGCGTAACCGCGCCGTGCCATTGTGGCCGGCTCGTTGAGCAATAATTGGAGCAACGGCATTGTTGGAGACTCCGGTTGCAAACGTCTCTATCTCAAGTAACGAGTCGTTTTTTACTCGGGCGCGAGATGTCTCCTCTCTTCTCTCTCATCTCCCTCTCTCTCGCTCTTCTCGCGCGGCTCGACGAAATTGTCCGGATTTAACGTCAATCACGAGCCGCGTTATTTAATCCCCCTAATTGATGTGTCCCGAGAGCGCGATTCACGAAATCTCGCGGCGATAAGAAAAAAAAAAAAAAGAGATAGAGACGAATCGGCAGGTTTGTTTTTTTCCTAAATTTTGCGTCTCCTGCCGTGACTCATCTCGCGTGTTCAAGGGGCCGCAGTTATCTGCGATGAAGAAGGTGAAAAAAAGTGACTGTGGGAGGGGAGAGTCGCGTCGAATACTTGGTTTTCCTCGCTCGCGTCGCTTTCCCCCCTCGGGTTTGGCGAAAGGGTTATCCCCTTAAAAAAGGCGGCGATCCCGTTTCCGCGTAAAAGTGCCGCACCGCTGCGTCCGAGAGTCACGTGCAAATTGCGCCGTCGTCGGGTTTTGTCATACGGTACAATGGAAACGAGACGCACACCCGGCGACACGCGAGGCCTTTCGAATCGGTTCGACAAAGTGGATAACGGAATGAGAAGCGTTGGGGAAAAAAGGAGGAAAAAAAATGAAAATCGTCGACCGTGCCGCGACGTTTCCACGAGGACGATCGATCTCTTTGCAACGCGAGAACCAACGTGGACGGTGATCTATCCCAAATACGGAGGAATCGAAAAAGTAAACAGAAGAAGGTAGGAGACCAGCGGGATAAATTATGAACCGAAGGTATGCTCTCGAGGTCTCTCGATTTTTCAACGCGGACGTACGTGAGAGGTTTCTCTCTCTCTCGCATTCCTTTTTAAACGGTTTAATGAAATTCACGGGATAAGTGGTGTATGTAGATCGCCGAGATTTTTCTCTTTTTTTTTTTTTTTGCGAACTATCCTTGAGGCGGCGGTGTCGCGGTTTCCGGGTTTGACGTCCTTCGGATGACGGCACTCCCAACTGACGGCGGTGAAATTTCCGGATGCGCGAGGTTTATTACCTTTTGAAAATCGGCCATCCAACTCGCCCGTCTCGTTTTTCCTCGGCACGGGTCGAACCTCGCGATATCCGCCCGTAAACCGGTGATAACGGCGCTCGATTCTTCCTCATTTTTCCTCCCTCGGGCCGCTCCGATTCCAAGGCTGGCATTCTCGAGGAAGTAGTCGAAGCGCATTTCTGCATTAATTTCATGCTCACGACTGTGAAATCGCTGCGGTTCGATCTCACGATCTGCAGGGGTACATCCCCTCGTCGCGCGTTTCCCCTCGAGGGTCGGGACTCGATGATCCCTTCGCGATCCCTGAAAAAAAAAAATAGTAACGAGGGATCCGGCATATATTTTTTTTTGCTAGCCATCGGAACATCCGCGGCGGAGTAACGATCGACGCGAACGCCTTCCTTTTCCCTTTCCGCGATGGATACTACATAATCGCATTATATCGCGTACCTGGATTTCTTGTGTAACTCCGCGACCTGGCTTTTGCCCCGACCCGGACCTAAATCGTGGAAAAATGGAAGATCGTCGCGTCGTCCCGTGATCTCGTTTAGCCGCGCCGCGATTACGTCCGCTTCGGCCGCGACGTCGTAATCCGTGGGTCTCGTCGATATCTCCTTGGGTCGAGAGAAATGAAACACGACGAGCGTTAATTCTCGGGGACTTTGTCGGGATCGTTGCAACTAAATTGACGGGATTTGTCGGGTTTATCGGCTTTATCGGCCGCGCAAACGTCGCATGACGCGCCGGTGGACCGGGCTCTTTGTCTACTCCATTTGTGGAGGGATTTCCGCGCTCGGGACGTTTTTCCTTGATCACGCGCCGCCCCATCTGCGGGGCCTATTTTTATCGCTCCTCTGCAGACGAGAGATTTAGAGTATCTCCTTAGGCCGTGGCAGGTGGAAAAATATTCCACGTACCCGTCGGTGCCTCGAGGAACGTCGAAACGGGGTAGATACGCCGAGAAAAAAAAATTCATGGAATCGAAGAACGAATTAACGAAATATTTCTTTGGGTCGGTGACATTTTTTTCTCGGTGGTCTTCGGAGGTCTGGCATCTCGGTAAAAGTATCTTCGAATGCTCCCTCGGGTCGGTATTCGTCGAGAGGCTCTATATTCGGAGCGGCGCACATTGGAGTCGGGTGGTCGGCGACCACGTGGCAGCCCCCTGGAGTGGCCGCACCACGCGTTGGCACGCGTCGCTTCTTCGGGCCCTTTTTGTCCGAAGGAAACCCCCGGTGGCCTTTCGGAAAAAGAGGGGCTCCTTTTTGCGGCCCCTAATTCGTTCCTTTGGAATCCCCGATGCCCGTTACGCGATACGCGATCTCATTCTCGCGCGCTATCGAACGCCGCGAGTCGGGGGAGAACTTTGTTCTCTTCGTCCACTTTTTCATTTATCGCGTCGAGTAGAGGCATTTGTCTTGCCATTGAAAAATAAGACCGACACGGTCGAGGGTCTCTCGAGATTAACCTTCGCTCCGG